GGGCTTAGGGGCCCCACACCATAGTCCCGGTGTTGAACAAGCCCAGCTGTTGTAGCATTCCTGGAGGTCAACTCGCAGCTGTGTTGGCCGTTTCAGAAACCAACACCGACTGAAACGGTGGTGAATTTGGGGGGTTGTGGGTTTCTAGAAGGCTTCCTTAACAGGACCTTGTTCTTGGCTCGATACAGTGAGGCAGTAAGTTGTTGTTGTTGTTTCTTGTTTTCTGCGGGCTTGTGGATTTTGGAAGAGGGGAGGTCAGGACGTTGGGTATGGGGCTTAGGACCTACCTGCATCCCCAAACCCAGCGGAACAGCAGGTTATGACCCACCTTAATTATAAAACCCTAAACCCTAAACCCTAAACCATAAGGCATAACTCCCAAAACAGTAGGTTTTGGGATCCCTAGGTCCTTTGTGGTAAGGGTTCTACGAGGGTTCCCTGAAAAGTTTACCTGAATCCTATAAAACCAAAATCTACATCACCTTGTGATAATGATAAGTCCTTAAGGAGGTCGGCTATCTGGAGTTAAGGGGGGGTTACAGTTAGGTCTGCGGCTCAAAATTTCCAGCGAACCTGGTATGATATAGAAGCTTGAGTAACTGACTACCAATGTTATTGCTGAGGGCTCCTTACTATTTTAATCAGAATGATATGATAAGAATACCCCGAAAACCCTCCTCTAATTGTTTAGGGCCCTACATCAGCACGGTTTCTTGGTCCCCCAAAGCAAAAGCATTAATCTTAAGTCGGGATTTGGACTCCACGCGGATTTTAGCAAGGCCTAAAGTCCTCACCCTAAGGGTCCATGAGCTCAAATAGTACATACTGTGGCCATAAAGGACTCCCTATATAGGTACTTTGAAGCCAATGTATATATTATTTGGAAACATGGACCCTCAGGGAATAGGTACATGGACCGGGCCCTAAAAGCCTAAACCCTAAATCCTAAACCCGTGTATGTTATGTGGTTACATGGACCCTCAGGGTCAGGTCACGCTCTGAGTTGTTGATGCCTAAACCCTAGGCCCTATACCCAAAACCTTAAACCCTAAACCCTAAACCCTAACTCGTGTGGTCGGCGGTAGTTTGGTTTGACGTAGGTTCGCCTGTGAGTGATGGCGAGGTAGTGGGCGGTCGGACAAATCGCCAGGCCTGTTTGTTGTAGCTGGCTTGTCAATATCTGGATGAACCGAACAACGCGGAACCCGGCCCCTGAACCCCACATCCTAAGTCCCATTCCCTCATGCTTGGCCGCAGGTAAGGTGCAGGATTGCGGGCCTTTTTCTGGTTTTTAAGAGGAAGTGTGCGGGTGAGCTGCAAGAGAAAGGTTTAGGGTTGTAGGGCTTAGGGTTTAGTGTTTCACCTGCTGTAAGTCTGCAAATCTCCTAGGCCCAACAACAGTTGCGAGACTAGGCTTCCTGATTCAACGATACAGGGGTTTCCGAAAATAGGGGACCCTAATATAGTACCCTAAATAGTAGGATCCTTATTATAATTTTCGGAAACTCCCATACAGGGTGTTCGGTGATCTGATCACCCTCCCATGTTTTCTGCGCCTCACGGTGTCCAAAGTGACCGATAACTGAGGATTCTACGAGGGTTTTGTGTGAAGGTTCTATCAGTGTATTAAGGATCCATAGTAGCAGAAGCATTTTATAGCAGTAAGTGTAGAATTGATTTGCACTACGGTGCTACCAACGAAGGAGACATCTCTACACCTTTGCATTGAATGCAACTGGTGGAGGGCGACATACCACGAAAGCCGTGCCAAACCCAAGCAAAACCTAAACTGTGTTCACAAAACCCTGCAATCCCTAGCGGCAAAGCCTGCTAAGCACTTACAGCCCAACTCCCTAGAGTGTGTTTTTGTTGCACATCCAAGCCTTGGAACATCGGACCCTGCCATCACAGTGACTGCAGGGTTTAGGGGTTTGATACAGGGGCCTGAATCATTACCTATACTCTTTTGGGGGGCTCCTTGTTACAATAATACTATAATATACCCCAAAACCCTATTCAAATTATTAAGGCCCCTAAACCCTAAACCCTAATAGTAACCCTTATAGACCCCTTCAAGTAGCCCTTCAAAAGGAACCCCCAAAACCCTATTCGATTTGTTAAGGCCCCTACATTAGGGGCTTTACGGGCTTAGGGCTTAGGACCCCGTAAAGCTGCTGTTTCAAGCACGTTTAAGTGAGATCCCGTTACCCCAAGATGGACCCCATATCTGTTTTGTAGTATTTTTCTAGGTTAGGGTTTGAAGGTTTAGGGTTATATGATGTGTTTTGTAGTGTTTTTTCTGGGCCATAGAAGGGTGCCTGTATATGCTGCAGGTACTTTTGTGGACAAGGTATAAGCATGTGTGTGTTTTTCAGGTACATGGGCCCTGTAGGGTAGCAGTCAGAAAGCCCGAGCACGCATATACCCTAAGGGCCCAGGTGCCCAAGTAGAGGAGGCAGTGGGCCCTCTCACAATCGTTGTGTGCTTGGTTGATCCGTCTGGTTTGTCCGGCTTTCTGGTGATCCTTAGTGTGCAGTACATGGGCTCGCCAAGCGAACTCAGACGATGCAGCGCGCTTGGCAAAAGTTCTAGGCTTCAGGGGTTGAAGCCAAAGCCCTAAGCAGTAGTGTTCAAGGTTTTTTCCGGGGTTTGGGTTCCGGTCTTTAGTGAGCTTTGAATTCAGGGTTCCAGTATATCAGGTTTAGGTTTTAGGCTTTATAGGTTCTGTTCTTTAGAGGTTTGGTTTGGAGTTCCTGTCTGCACGGTGTTGTTTATGTACGCCGAAAGGTTCCTTGCTGTACACCAATTATCAAGGTCCCCTTTTTACCCCAGGTGTCCTGGACCCGATATCTACCATCAAACCTAGAACAGCTGAATGACACCCCCTAGCGGAGCCCTCTAAAGGTAGCACTTTTGCCGACAACAAAAGCGCGAACGAGTTCCATTGCTGCTGTTCCTGCTGCTGCTGCTGCTTCGATTACAGTGGCGCAGACCATCGTATGAAAGACACAGGCTAGCACAAAAGCCATTCCCCACGCCCTCATGTTGTGGCTACTGCATCATGGTAATCATGATAGACATGTGTGGAATTGCTCTCCAATATCAGGCTTGTCCATGTTGCGACCGGGCAACCATGAATTCCACATGTTGCTCTTCTCTCTCCTTGAGGCGTGTGCACACAACAACCGCTTGTTATGTTACCCTAAGGATCCATGTACCCAAATGGATATACTTTGGTTTTGAAGTAGTCCCTATATAAGTACTTTGGGGCCAAGGTATATACTATTTGGGTACATGACCCTCAGGGTTAGATCGGAACCCTGGACGCTAGGACGCCTAAAACAAACCTCGGACCACAAGCCAGCCTTAAGCACTAAGGCCTAAATCCATAGCCCTAAACCCTAAACCCGAAGCCCTATAACCCCCCCAAAAAGCGCTAGACCTTAAACACCCCTATAAACCCTAAAAGCCTTAAAAACCTTAAACCCTAAACCCTAAAAACCCTAAAGCCCTAGAAGCCCTAAAGGCCCCAAAAGCCCTAAAAGCCCTACAAACCCTAAAAGCCCTACAAACCCTAAAAGCCCTAAACGCCCTAAAAGCCCCAAAAGCCTTCAACTCGTTGAAGCAGGAGCTGCCAGCCTGGGCCCCGCCGCGAATCCGAGAGAAGCCGCTGTCAGCGCTGACAGACGGCCGGGAGCCAATGGTTGAGTTATATATATATATATATATAGATATACACAGATAGATAGATAGATAGATAGATAGATAGATAGATAGAGGGGCTTAAATAGCCAATACTATTTTGTGGGGTTCCTTATTGTAGTGATAGTATAATGGGCCCCAAAACACTACTCTAAGTATTAAGGCCTCTATATTACCTATGTAGAATGTAGGGTTTGAAGAACTGGGAACTACTATTATGACTTGGGAAGCATCCCCCAAAATACTACTTAGGACCTTTTAGGAAATCGGGTTTTAAAGGCGTGTGGGTTTCAGGATCGAGGTCATAAGGGTTTCTGGTTTAGGGTTCAGGGGCTTAGGGTTCTGGGCCTAGGTTTTAGCCAGCTCCGTCAGTCGTGACCGCGAGGTTTTTTGCAGGTTTTCAGGTTTGAGGCTGTGCAGGTTTCAGGTTTGGGGCTTTGCAGGTTTTCAGGTTTGGGGCTTGGGGAAGGGGGGACGGGGGGGGGGAGGGCTTGATTGCTCGTTGCTGTCGCAGATGCTTCATCTCCGCAAACGCAGTGCCAACCATAAATCCGCTGTCGACGCGCGGTCAGGTTTTAGGGTCTGGGGTTTTGGGGTTTAGGCTGCGAAAACTTTGAATGCTCTGTATTCGGATTTATAGAGGTTTAGGTTCTGTGTGCATAGGTTTGCCTTTGGATCTTTACCCTTTGGATTCGCAGATCTACAAAGTCTTATAGGGTTTAAGTACCCAGTTATTGGATTGGAATCGTAACTCCAGCACTTTGACAGTTTAGTCTTGAAGATGTCAGGCCCTACCTCTGCTTTTAGGCTGTGCAGGATTGGGGTCTGGCGTTGCAGCAATGCTGTTCTTGGTGTCTGCACGTGTAGCTGTTCTTTGCAGCCTCCGCTTGTCAGGTTGAGTGCAGTCTCTACATGCGTAATATAGGGGCCTGAACAATTGGAACACGGTTTTGGCGCCAGTATATTATTATTGTAATAAGGAACGCCCAACAATAGTATAGGTAATTATTGAGGGCCCTATATTATGGCATGTCATACCCCAAAACCTGTCCATGCTACGGCTTCTATACTTGCACCATCCTTGAAGGGCGAGTCTCAAGCATATCCCGAGTCCGGTGACAGTACATACCCAACTTAGTTGTTACGTCTTTGTTGCCTCTTTCTGCAGCAGTCTTGAACCACTCCGTGCACCGGGGTTAGCTGTGTTAGACGTGTGCAAGACAGCGGCTCAAGCCCATAACCTGTTTGCGTCGCAGTCCTAACCTCTTGGAAGCGAAGTGTCCGTCAGCGAGATCAGAATGCGCAGGGCTCGTCATCTCATGAGCTATGAACTCGTTCTGCTGCTGCTTCTTGCTGGGTGGGACGTGTCTTCACCTACATTCAGCAGCCCAGCTGGCAAATCGCCCAGATTCCAGCAGAGTGCCTTCATGACGAGGGAAAACACCGAGCTTTATGTGGGCGAACCGATTGACAGGAAGTACAGCCACACAATTTCGCAAAGTGAGAAAATCTTGGTGTCTACGCTGAATTCCGCTGGCAAAAAGGGCCAGCAGGGATGGGCTAAAGTTCAGCACCTTTACAAGCGATACACGGGTGTCGCCGTTCCGGTCTTTGGCGCGACATTACAAGCTGCATACCGTTGCAAGCAGTATTCAGAAGCAGCAAAGATGTACACAGAAATCCGAGATATGGGCAATGTGACGGTCGGTCCGGTCCTTGTGCTGTACGGCATGAAGATCTTCGGGAAGTTGCAAGACAGCAGCGCCGTCAATGCAATTTGGCAGGAGGTTCGTGCAAATGGATGGGAGAATAAGTTTTTGACCGCGGCTCGGATTGACGCAGCCAGCGAGATGGGTGACATGGAAGGAGCTGCGTCGATTTTAGACTTTATGGCAAATGAGACTGTTCCGGCTTATGACATCCATTTCAACTCTGCGATCAATGCATGTAAAAACTCGAACCATTCCAAACGCCACGTGGCAGCCATGTTCGTGTTGGACGGAATGCTAAGCAAAGGGTTGCAGCCAACCGTCGTCACCTTCGCCAACTTGGCCGGGGCTCACCGGCAGGCTCCACTGACGATGCTTGAAGGCATCCTGTCCAGGATGAGAGACAGCGGCATCACACCCAACAAGGTGTTTGCAGAAACATTCGTGGGTGCCTTGTTTCGCGGTCGTCTGACGGCGGTCTCGACCGTGGAGGACGTCCACATTCGGCTTAACGGGATAAGCAAGGACAGGCTAAGGGTGGCCAAATCAGTCCTGACAGATGCACGGTCTCGAGGTGTCCGACTGACAAAGCTTAGCTCCCTGACTGATCAGTACTTGCAACAGCTGACCATCTGAGTTGTTCCGGGCTCCATGTACAACACACGCTCGCTTTATGGCTTCGACACAAGTTGTAGCCAAGAGATATCCGTGCTTCACCGGCAGAACCTGTATTCTGCCATGTCGTCGTGGATCCCATCGTGTGGCTTCTTGTATATACAATGCTTCACGAAAACATATTTTTGTTCTGGCAGCTGTGGGATGTAGATAACCAGGATCCTGACTACCCGGATTACCAAGCCTTGTGACTTCGTCGTTCGGGACTTATCAAAACTACCCAACATCAGCGAAAATTCCATGAACCCCAAGCCTTACAGTTGGAGAGCCTCAATGTTGGTTCCCTTCGTTTGAGAGCATGTGCATAGGTATTAGAAGAAGCAGCAAGTCCGCAGTGGCCGTATTATTCGGGTCATTAGTTGCTCGGTCTTCAGGGGGGGGTAGGGACTTGGGTCATTGGGGGATTGTAGTTCCGCTGGATGAGATCTGAGTTTTTGGACACCGTATGACTATTCGGCACCAGGGCCCGCAGGGTTGCTCCTCCGAGGCTCGAAGTTTTAACTAGTTCACTTCTTCTAAGTTGATATTGCTGCGAAAGTTTGTTTAGAATGTTGGGGTTCTTCAGTTTAAAGTTTGCATGACAGCTTGACTTTGGTCTGTTCCTGGCCATTGAGGATGCATGATTCGAGTATTGTTTCAGGTTATGTTGTGTGTTTACTCAAAACTTAAAACACGGGCTTCTTTTCGGGTTGCAGTGGATTTGTCGTATGGTCTCGAAATTAGGGGTTCGAGATTGTCTTAGCGGTGCAAGTATCCGAAAACTGAGGTAGAACTCGTAACCCTGCATCCCAGCACCCTGCTGCCGAAAACACGATACCCTACAGCCGACACCCTCAAACGCCGCCAATGAACAAAAGCTAAAGCCCCTAAACCCCAAACCTAAACCCGTATATTCCCTAAATCCGAACTAGGCAATAGTGCGTGAGGTGCAACGGGAGAGCTGCCTGGGTGGCGGGACCGCCGCTGAATGCGCCCTTTGAAGGGATTTGCTGAGGGCTCACTGCAGCCTGCAGTTTTGCTGTACGGTCGTACCCTTTTTTTACGGGTAGCCAGTTTTATGTATAAAACAAGGTACCCTAAAGCAGGTGTAGGGTATGACTCTGTATGGTATGGTAGAGTTTGACTCAAGGTTATAATCGATTATAAGCGTAGGAGTTTGGGTTTAGAGTTCAGGGTTTTAGGTTTAGAGTTTACACTATAGGGTTGAAGTTTATGCCCAATGGGCCGGAGGAGGGGGTACAGAGGGGCTTGCATTAAGGGTTTAATGGGTTTAGTTAGTTATATGGTTCTGTGGAGTTGCCACATGGGTAAGAGTTTGCTTGAAGGTTTGAGGGAATGGGAGGTTCTAAGTGGGGTGACCGGTGAAAATTAGTATTGTTGGTACGGTTCATTACAGTTTCCTGTTGTAATAGTAAGTCAGGATAGTATGATATATCCCGAAACCCTGCTTTGTTTGCTGAGACTTGTAGTCTCACTAGCTTGTTAAGACCCCCTGAACCGTGCAGGGGTTGGAGTCTTCTGGTCAGGGCATCGAGCTTTTGGGAATTTAGGGCTTAGTGTTTAGGTGGGGGTTTCTTGTGGTTGATGGCTTACTTTCACGACGTTTAATGTGCATGCAACTTCATGTTCTTAGCAGCTGAGTGTGTTGTTTCTGGTCGGGAGCATTCCGGAATCAAAACGCTCAACCCTAAACCCTGGCCCTATCAGCCCTGCTTATGGTAGCTCACTGGCAGGACGTCGATCCCAAACCCCAAGCCTTGTTAAGGGTAGCTCACAAGCAGGACGAAGATGAGATGGCCGGCGCCGGCTTCGGCGCCGCTGTCTATCTGCCGAGTTTTCTCATCCTCCAGATCCGCCTTGAGTTCGGGGTTTAGGGATTGGCGTTTAGGGTGAGGGGGTGATCATTGAGGGTTTAGGCTTGCAGTGATCTAATAGACATGTGGAAAATTAGTCAGAATATCCCCTATAGCTTTATAATTACATGTATGACCTAAAATACCCCGAAACCCACTTCTAAGCATTAAGGCCTCTATCTTGCCTTGCATGTCCTACAGGTGTTTACTTTCGAGGTGGTCCGGGTCTTCTAAGCTCGAGTGTGCTTGGTTTCTGCTCTCGGTATCTGTTCGAAATGTGGCACCTGCAAAATAATCCCAATGGGTCCTAAAGACCTATATGGGGGATACGTACCCGCGCCATAATGATACTTCCCACTATAGATAACCTGCTTTCTACTATGTTTTCGAGCTCAGGACAAGGTACAACCATCCGAGCATTGGGGCCTCAGCACGACTACAACACTACCAGCCTGAAGGCACAGGGCAACTTATGGGTCTGTAGGTCTGCATGAAGGGCCCGTTACTTCTTCGAAAACGCTAAACACTAATGGCCGAAAACACTAAGCCCTGAAACCGCCCCAGACCTTAAAAAACCATGAATTCTAACAGCCCTTGAACTTAAAAACCCTAGACCCTGAAAGCCCTAAACCCCAAACCCCGGGTATGTCGGGAGAGCTTGCGCAGTCGGGAGTAGATCCCGGGATTTCGTAGCCCTAAACCCCAAACCCTAAGCCCTAAACCCTAAACCCTAAACCCTAAACCCTAAGCCCTAAACCCTAAACCCTAAACCCTAAGCCCTAAGCTACCGAGATTTCGTAGACAGCCAGGTGGGGCCAGAGTACATGCAGGTGCCAGGAGAGCCTTTTGCTTTCTACCACAAGGCCGTTAGGGTTTGGGGGGTTTAGGGGGTTTGGGTTTGGGGCTTTTTAGGGTTTGGGGTTTAGGGTTCAAGGGTTTAGGGGGTTTAGGGTTTAGGATTTAGGGGTTAAGGGGGTTTAGGGTTTAGGGGTTTAGGGGGTTTAGGGTTTGGGATTTAGGGTTTTGGTGTTTAAGGGTTCAGGGCTTCGGCGTAGGTTCTTTTTTCGGCGCGTGATGTTTGGGATCTTGCTCCTAAACCCTAAACATCCGACATCCGGAGAGCTGGTGCCCTGTTCCCCAAGGGTTCGGTATGACTACGATGGGTTCCTTTACGGCTTCCTTGAAGGGTTCCTTTAAGGGTTCGTTGGAGGGTTCCTTGAAGGGTTCCTTTAAGGGTTTCGGGCGTAGGGTCCCTATAACGGTTACCTCAGTGTTTATATCGTAGAATGTAGGGTTTCTATATTAGGAGCGACTCTTATGATTGAGGGAAGTATCAGTCATAGCAGTACGTGGGACCCTTTGGGTGGCACCGTGGAGAGGCCCGTCGGATGACCTCCGACACGTCCGTTGCAAGGACCGTAAAAACCCAAGCCCCGAACCTACAAACCCTACATGTCTAGGGCTCCTTCTTATGATTTCCCTGTATAAGTTCCAAAAAGAAAGAGAGTTCGGTTTTTGTGGGGTTAGGGCTTACTGCATACTCTTACAGACCTAAAGCACGCCTTTCCGAGTCGAAGCTCATTTCCCGACCTCAGGGCTTTCTTGCGGTTTGTAACTAAGTTCTACCTGACCCCAAATCTACCCTGTCTTGGAACTTATTCAAAAAAACACATCATAAGAAAGAGCACCAAATACGAGGTGTTCCAGGCAAGTTGTACCTTGGGGAAGGATTCGAGCGCTGCCAATTAGTATAGGGTACTCATAACCCCAGCCATAACGCAGTTCTACGCCAAAGAAAGCAACATCCGAATGCCATATGTTCGAACTGAAGCACCTCAAATGCCCCTTACCAAGTGAATGCCACTTACTAAGTCCCCGATTCTTTTGGTCGATCCTCCATAACCCTTAAACCAAGATGAACCGCTACCAAAACCTCTAGCATACTCTAGAACCCGACAAAACCTCGATTACTGTGTCTGAAGCTCCCATTACGGGTTTAGAGGTTCCGGGTTCATCTAAACATCTTCAAAGCAAACCCTTACATCGAACCTTTTCGGCTCTAGGGTATCGGTATAGAGTTTATTGCTTCGGGAGGGTCTATGGTTTGGGGTTTAAACAGTCTGACACCTTCAAGTCCTCGAGGTGATGTTCCCCGACACGAAGCCAACCGGCATTCGCATGTCTGCATGCCTCAATGCCATGGAGGAGCCGCTCGCCCGATGAATGGGTTCCGAACGAAGGGATCCTTCAAGGGATCCTTGATGGTTAATGGATTCTTAACGGGATTCTTTAAGAGATCCTATATGGTTCTACACTGGTTTAGAGCGTCGATGTTGACCTCAGAGCTCAGGTGTTACAATGCTCTAGGGCTTAGGGTGCTTCCTGTGTAGGATTCGGGGGTGGTCTTTATCCGCTGCAGTAAAACTGACAAGTTTCACCGTTGTACGAGCAGAAATTTAAACCCAAAACCCGGAACCCTACACCTTGAACCCTACTACCTTCGGGGTGCATTGGTCGCCCGTTCGGTCCAAGCTGCTGTAAACTTCTTCGACGCGTACCCGGAGCGTTGCGCCGAGGGACCCGAGTCGCACCTCCCGCCCGGCAGTGGTAGCCAAGCACCCAAGACCGTAACACATTAGAAACCCAAAGCCAAAATGGCCCTGCTGCTGATGATATAAATCCTGCATGACCTTAAAGACCCTAAACTATGGGAATTACGGTATATTCCTCATTATGGCAATGCGGGACTTGTATCATGAACCGTAACACCCCAATCAAGCCTAAAGCGCTAAGCCCAAAATGCCAAAGAACAACACCCCATTCCTGCAACCCCAAACCCGAATTGCTCGATCCGGTTCATTCCTGCAATATCGGGGTTCCAACGTTCAGGGTTTCAGGTTTGAATGTTCAGGCTGTATGGCTCAACGTGGAGAGGTCGGAACATCTAACAATAGGTTGCACTCCTTATTCAGCTTCATAAGAAATTCGTGGGGCTGTGCAGTTCACGTGTACCTCTTGAAACAAAGCCCCCACTTTATTTCTCGAGGCCCTAATAAAGAAACCTAAATAATTACCTTTACTATATGGGGGTTCCTTAGTAGAACTATATGCTATAACATACCGCAAAGCCCTACTTGAATTATCAAGGCCCTACGTAAGTCAAAGAGCAAAGGAAACTCGCCAAGAGGCTCACATTCACAATGGAAAACCATCGCCTTCTCGGAGTTATGATTCAGGGTTTAGGATTTTGGGTTTAGGGTGTAGGGGTT